TACATATACGTATTTACATCCATATTAATTTGCTTGTTTATTAAATATCTTTATATACGATAAAAAGAACTGAGTTGTAGTGTGTACACGGGTTCGTTAATGCCGTATAATTTATTAACATTTCATTCCCATACTTAGTTGAAATATTTATGCGGGCATATACTTAGCAGTTGTGCTGAGCCAGTGAATACTCGAATGCACGCTACCTTACAATTTACTTACAATTCACACGTACTTACAGCTTAACAAAGTAATGTCTAATTTTTGTGTCATCTTTCATACTTAGTCCATTGCAGTTATAAAAATTCAGAATAGTAACAGGAAGTAACATACTCCTTGGAATAAATTTAATGCAATATGCCAAATTTTATGTAACCAATTTTGGTGGTGAACCATAATGACCCAACGCTTCAGAAACCTGATGGACCTTGGGTTCATTGTGACGAAGAAACTATTGTAGTTTAGCAAAACTATCGAAACCAAAAGCAACGCCTTTACCAACCTTTTCGATTGAAAAATAAGGGAACGAATCTCCCATTGACAATTCAATCTACAAATAATATGAACTATACAGTTCTGACAAGTGTTTCTTTTTATATTTAAGTAATAATTTCACCTAAAATTTCTAATTAATGTAACTTTAGAAATACTTTAAAAACTTGTCACCAATATAGATAGATAGATAGATATATAGATAATTTTTGTATTAAAATATTTTCAAAAAAAATAAAGAATACAACACTGACTTGATAGGAAGTGTTGGATTTATATAAATTTGCCTTCTAGCTTAAAATAAAAGTATAAAGAGTTCAAAAATTAATGACTTTTATTTAAATTTTAATTTAAAAGTATCGAATGCGTTTATAATTAGTTTTCTTTATTTCAAAGCACTAGTAATATAGTTAATCAATCCTTTCCAATCAAGATCATTTCCCCCATTTAGTACATGGATTACTTCCACTTGCATTAAAGATTCTCTTTCAAAACAAACTCGTCGTGTCACTAATGTAGATAACTTATGTTTATTTTACAATGTAATTAAAATTATATAATCACAATATTTTCTATGTAAATACTAAAGCAAAACAAATTTTTTCCATGTATTATTCAACATATTCCTGCCTTCATCTGACTTCCATCCTTTTGCCTTCGACCATTGAATCAAAACATATGGAATCTTCTTACTATGTTATTTGATCTGGCGAATCAACTGATACCCCTTGAACGAAAATGTGTTAAGGTGAGAAACCTGTCTTATGTTGCAAAATTAATTTTACACACAACATTTTTTTCTATATTAAAAAAATATAAATCTATTATATCTATCTTTGTAATTCAGTCTTGAAATAAGTCACAAAAATTAATATTTGTGATAAGTGTTAAGAAAAAAAAATAAAGTAATATATATTATTATTAATCTAATTTTAAAACTGTAATTAATAGACGATTCTGTTAGTTATATGATATATATATAATTGACATATTAAATATAATCTGTTGTAAAAATAGCTTTTTAAAATTAAATTTATATATATAAACATTTTTTACGAGTACTTAAAATACTTAACAATTTTTAATTTTATACAAATATTAACTGCTGGAAATTTTGAGTTATTTGAAAAAAATTAAAATTAAAGTAGATATCCGATTTTCAACTCTGTTAGCAAGGTTAATGTCTGAGATTATTTAGAAAACTATTTAGAAATTCTTTTCTCTAGATTTTCTACTATTTTGGACACATATTCAATACATTGAGATAGTAATTCTCAATTCTTTTGCAATTTATTAGGTGATTCTAGAACGTATACCAGCTGTGGTCTTTTATGTTAATTTTGACCACTAGTACCGAGAATCGCTGAAAAATTGTAGCCTATAGTTATTTACAAATATACAATGCACATACACTACATTGTACCTTGTTCTTGTTGCATTCCTGCCTTGGATTGAAGAGATTAAAAATTATTGTTAATAAAATAAAAAAAACTTCATAAATATTATATAAAACTGTCTCTACAGCCTTAACACGCACACTATTACAAATTTACTTACATCTGCCATAGTTGCGTCTTTTCTTTCAGTGAAAATGTGATGCTTCGCTAGGGACAGTAAGCGAATGGATCTTCTCTTTTTTCTACATCTTTCAAAGGAATTGGTTCCATGGTTCACCATCGAAATTGGTTAACTAAAATTTGGCATATTGCATTAAATTTGTTCCAAGAAGTATTTAACTTCCTATTACCATCCAGAATTTTTATAACTGCATTGGACTGAGTATGAAAGCTGACACACAAAATTAGGCGACCTCTCATATGCTGATGATGTTGATTTAATAAGTACTAAACACAATGAAACCAAATCCATGAGAATCAACGTGCGCAACAATACATAGTTTGAATTATCTGAAGAAGCCGTAGATGATATATAAGAGTTCGAATATCTGGATAGTATCCTGACACCTGATGGTGGCAAAATAGCTGATATTCAACGCAGAATATCCAAGGCAACAGGTGTGTTTGCCAGATTGTCACGAGTGTGGTTGAATAGCGCACTTAAAAAAGAAACAAAAGTTGGAATTTTCGGTGCCTACGTGAAATCCGTTTTAATCTATGGCAGCAAAACGTGGCATCTAAAACAAGAATCAGCTAAAAAACTTCAAGCCTTTGCCAACAGATGTTTGCGTCAACAGATGGTTGCGTACTATATCGAATGAACGTTTATGGCAAATCAAAAACCGATGGATTTGATATTCAGATGTCTGAGTTGGTGAATCAGCACCTTTACTCTATTTTATCTGTGGACAATTTTAAGTCACACTAAATACGGGGGTTTACGGGGCTTTATAATATGATGGATCTGATATCTTTGTACCTGCCTGTGTTTATCAAATTTCGCTGTATTTTTAGGATGCTGAGAGTTGGATTATTGTGACTGTCAATTGTATTGAATAGTTTCAGAGCACGATCTTTAATGTATTTTTCAACTGAATCCACTCTCAGATCTCTGTGGATATCAGCTCCTCTTACATACCATGGGGCGTTAACCAGTTTTCTTAAGGCAATATTTTGCCCTCTTTGTAGAATTTTTAAAGTTGAGCTTGGCGCTTGGCAAAACGCTATACTGCCATAGAGTAGTCCTGGTTTAATAATTTGCTTAAATATGCTAACTCTATTCTTTATATTGAGCTTTTTGCTGCTGATGAGCGGGTGAAGGGAGTGTAATATTCGGGCAGCTTGAGCTCGTTTGAACTTGAAATGTGCTTTCCAGGAGTGCTTGTTATCAAAGGTTATGCCTAGGTATTTGAGAGTATCGGCCCATTCTATTTCTTGTTCTTCTACCTTTAATTTTCTGGGAGCTTGGCGGCGCTTTCTGGTAATAAAAATTGCCCGAGTCTTTACCGATGGAGAAAGTACAAATGGATCGGACATACTCTTCGTAAAAACTCTGACGAAATAGCACATCCAGCCTTACAATGGAAACCTCAAGGCGTAAGAGGCAAAGATCAGCCAAAATGATTTGACTCAGATGTATTAACAAGAAAAACCAAAAAATCTTTCAATGATTTGGAATGCATTTTCGGAAATCACAATATGTGGAAATCTTATGTAGATAGACTAAGTTCTTAATTATCAATAATAAATAATAACAGTTGTATTTAATAGAGAGGTTTTGACGAACAATAGAAAACTGCAACAGCAAACATTTCTTGTTTCTTTTTAATTAATTGTATTTTTGACTGACCATACATATGTTTCGAGTATTGCCAAATACCCATCATGAGTGGTCGTGGAATTATTTCATATAAGTAGTTATTTATAAATAATTTTTTGAGACTTCAAGTACCAAGGGTTTATAATTTTATATTAAATTTAATTTTTAACGTTAATCACTGACTCTGAGCTTTGAATTTGGGAGGGTATGATTTCAACCCTTGCTACTTGCAGTTTCAAAAGAAATTATTTACAAATAATTGCACCAATAATATTTCAGGATTGCACCAACTACAAGCTCAAATTTGACGGCAAGCACTTTCCCAACTCTGTTCTTTATGACAATGCCAAGATCACTCGTGTTGACGAGCACCATTGTCAAATGGGTACCTCACCCAGCACCATGACCTCCCTCCTAACGTCTCCATACCCAATAACCTCCCTTAAGACTTCATTCAAGCCTGGCGATACAAAGCCATCCAATACTTGTCCTATTACTACAATGAGTGCGACCGTAATCTCCACACCATTTATAACCGCGGCTCTAGTCGTGACTCTAGTCATAAAGTTTATCGCTATTTTAGAGCCATGACGCTAAAACCATTATTTGATAAAGAAAAGTCAAATTTAGTTCATTTAGTTAAATTAATAAAATTAAAAAATTTGATGCTTCAAATCCATTTTTTATATCCCAGCGTATGTATCGCCTTTGGGCAGGCTTAAAAATGCCGATGAACAGTACTATAAGAAATCAATAAATAATTTTAAAATGCATTTTATTTAATTGTATTATAAAATATTTGTCTGTAAAAGAATATAACTAAGCAACATTTTGAAATTTAAAATCAGTTTTTCATATATATGTTTAAAGAAAATTTATATTAAATCTATCGCTAACTGAAATTTTTGTCCTGGTTTCTAATTAAGTTTTAAATCAGAAATATGCCTGAAAACCAAATCATGGAACTTGAGAATGAGCTTTTGGACGAAGCAGATGATTTATCCAATACTCTCTTCGAGTTTCTAATTAATCCGCCACCTGATGTAACCGAAGAAGAATATGACCTCCTGCTCTTGTTCGCTCTGATTCATTGGGGTTATGTTGGCTTATGGTGTAAGTATAATTTTTTATTTAAATTTTTTATAAGTGTGTGTGAAATATTGAATATTTTCTCTTCGCACTTAAGACTAGATTTAATGCAAATTATTTTTAATGTACATATATTTATTTGCTTCTTCTACAGAACATGGCCACGAACTTTATTTTTTATTTTTTTTTTTTTTTTTTGTTGACTGGAGCCTTTTTTATAATATCTATTTACATTACATGTAAGTATTAAAATTAGACATAAGTGATCGTATCATCGAAAAATCCTTCGCTTGTTCTTTAAAATTTGAAATATGGCACCTTATAAATTTTTTTCTCCCCTCTGACATATTCAATAATTAATTAAATGCGTGAAAAAATATTGCTTATTTTAATGTCAATTTGACAATATAAAAAAATATTTTCAAAACACACTTGAATTTACTTACAATACTAATGAATATTAGAGTTCAAATCTCTGCATCTAAATACCAAATGCAATAGTCGCTTGGCGACGCCACGGGGATCATTTAGCTTGCTTTTGCTTGTAATCCCCAGAGTATGAAAACCATCTTACTTCCCTCCTACAACAGTGCCCGCAGTTTCGGCTGTCCTGACCAATTGAGATTGGCAGTGTTGTAATGGCTGTGATTAATATTCAAACTAACGCGGGAAGAATGATTGTATTTTACTTTCCTCAATATGGAGGTATGTATTCACATCGGGTGCTGTGACCCAAAGATTAACAGATATATGGGTAGACCTTGGGCCTTACCAAAAGGATTTTCCTATCAGGCATTTATCGGCACATTATCTTAATACTTGTGTTTTAAGTCACTGTGGTCTTGAGCTTTTAACCACATTAAACAACTCTAGACCCTACCTACAACATAGAAGAAGTCGTTATGCCGTCTATTGAATATAAAATTCTAGTTCACTTCATTCAATCACAACGATGACAGTGGATTGGATCAATTTAGCTAACAACCTTACATTAAAAAATACTTGACAAATTGTTGGCAGTTAATATATGAATATTTTTTATAGTTAACCCACGGACAGAAATCAAAAGAGAAGCGGTGTTCCTTGAAGTTTCCTATTTTGGTGTCCTTTTGATAAAACAAATGTAATGAATCAAAAAAATTTTAAATTGTTTATCTATAATAATAGTGTGATATAATAAAACCATCAATTTCCATATTTCCAGTTTCCATGGATATAAAAAGAAAGCAGAAGCGGTTGCCCATAACTGCAATATGTTTCGAGCTTTGTATTTTGGTGCTCTGATCTCAGAACATATTTAATAAATCAATAATTAATAAACGAAATTAAAAATTAGTTATATTATCTTAGTACTATCTATTTCTATATCCATGATGACTGGCAAAAAGAAAATAAACAAATGCTTCGTTCGTTATGATAATTTGTTAAGAGTCTTCTATTTGTTATGTTCATCTTTGAACTGAATTTATAAATAAATAATTGATATATGATATATATATCTCTAGCAATTTCCACTAATCAAAAAAAACTTTCTTTTCATTACGCTGAATTATTTCGAGACTTCTATCTTGATGTCCTGATTTTGGAACAGTTTTAAAGAATCAACCAAAATCGAAAATTATGTTTTTATAGAAATAGTTTTTATAGTAATAACACTACTACTATAACAATTCTTAAAAGTCAGAATTGCCAGAAGTTATAACCGATTTTTTTTGTGCATATATTTTGTATACATTGTGTTTATTTTATATATATACTATATAGATTTTTCATTTAAATTTTTTTTTTGTTTTTATTTTATATTTAGTTTTTTGCAATTACGTTGGTAATTTACAAAATACATAAAACTAAAAACTAAATCATAATACTCATTATTTATACATATTTACTTGTTTACTGATGAAAAATTTTTTGGACCTACATAATTGATAACTTATATCAATCCTGAATAACTAACATCATAGAGTGCTACATGCAAAGGACATGGCTAGTAGAGCCCTCTCTCCGGGCTCTCTCCGTCGATCCTTAACCCCCTTCCATAACCATATCGACCAATATTGCAAAGGAGCTAACATCAGTGAGGTCGAATACAAACGTGGACTAATAGCACTCCATAGCGATGCAGTATCTTCTTCGAGACCTAGGTTAACTCCCAACAAAGTCCTCAGTAGGCCTCCGCCTAATATCTCCCAAGATGAACATAGGCTCCCCCGTGCAACAAGAACTATCCTAGCTCAATTGAGATCAGAATATAGCCATATGCTAAACAGTTACTTGTCACGCACAAACACGTCTATTCTTAATGTGTGGCCAAACTGCAGCTCTACCCGCCATGACGTCGCTCATCTGTTCTCTTGGTCTAATACATACACTGATTTAAGTCCAATCAACCTTTAGACTCATACCCCTTGAGGTGGCTAGGTTTCTTCGACTGAATCCTGCTTTATTTAATTTTATCCTCCCCCTCTCTTCCTTTACCCGCTTAGCTCTTACACACCCATTCACTCCCTTACACATGTATTCGTCTTGTGATCCTTACATGTTATCTGCTTTCAGATTCCATTGGGCTGCAACAACATATAAAGCACAGATTTATTGTTTATCACACACTTTTTATTACAAGATATAGTTCAGTTAATCGAACATTAGGAAAATAAGAACTAATCGGAAAACAAATTGAAAACAATTCAATAGTAAGCATTTTGTACAAATTAAATAAATGACTAGTACATTAATATATATAATCATCACAATTTTTTGACTCTACAATCCTAATTAAATCTTCGCCTCTGTAGTATATTAGTACATATAATATGAAAAGAAATCAAAGTATACATTTTTTGTAAACAAATTAACTCATAATAACTAATTAAAATGCAGTGCTGGCTCTGGCTGGCTGGCACTACATTCATTATAAACATATCTTTTACCTACTTATCCACTAATGTCAAATATATTAAATAGAGTTATGAAATCTGAATATAAAATTTGGATTTAATTAGTTTAAGTGTTTGAGTAAGCCTTATATGATATACAGTCCAACTTCCATAACTCGAACTTCTATAACTCGAATATTCAATAACTCGAACTAAAACGAGTTTTTGAGAACAAATTACTCACAATTCTGCTTCCATAGCTCGAACTTCTAAATTTCGAATAAAACTCGAAAAAAAAATATTGTTACGTGCCAATAAGAACACAGAAAAGTGCATTGTATAAGTCAAATTTTTGTTTCAAGTATGTATCCATTTTGATGTTAGGGGAAGTCCCTTTTTCCAAATCAAATGTTTAATTTTGTTTTCTTATGTTGCTTTTTTTTTGCAAATGCCAGTCGCTGACAGCGTGGTTTAAAGTAAATAAAATAACTTCCAATGCTACTTTTTACAATTATATTGAGCTTGGCAATGAAATTTGTATAACAAGCTTTCCTACAGATGACGGTACGTATTATTGAGCACTATACCTATAAATTACTGGATCCAATGTAATTCTAGTTTCTTTCAAAAATAAAAAACTTATAAAAAAATTCTCTAACTCGATGTCTCCATACATCAAACCTTTTCTTTGCAAAATGGTACTTCAAGTTATGAAAGTTTGACTATATCTATTGCTTATGATAAATACAATAAAAACTGTTTAGTTGATTTCTTCATATTATTTATTTGTTCTTGAATTTTTTTACATATCATTTTTTTAATTATTTTTTCTTGTTTGTTTTGTTTTTTTTTTAATATTCATTACAGTTGCTTATTTAATTAATTCCGTTGACTTAAAATTAAAAAATTATTTTCCAAAAAATTCATTAAAAGGTAATAATTTATAAATACATTAATACTTAAATACTTAATTTTATTTATTTATAAGGAACTCGTCTATCTAAATCTAAAGATTCATTAAAAGGTAATAATTTATAAATCGATGTACTTTATACATTAGATTAAAATAACTTAAATATATAATAATATAACATATAATAACATAAAAATGTTCTCTATTTAAACTGTATATTATATTTTTTACTAATATGTTAGTTATAACACATTAATTAATTTAATATTAATTAATTAATATTAACAACATACTAATATATGGAAGAACAACTGTTAACCAACATTTCAAATAGAGAATATTCTATCTTATAATATATATTTAAGTTCATTAAAGTTATTGTATCGATTTGTAAATTATTACCTTTCAATGAATTAAGATAGAGAGTAGAGAGCAGAGAGTAGATTAAGATGGAGAGTTTCTTATAAATAAATAAAATTAAATATCATTTTCTTATTGCTATTATAATATTGAAAAAATTTGCTAGTGAAAGACAATCTTTCTAATCTCTGCTTGGACTACTTAACGAAATATTCGAAAGCCTTTTGTACAATTTTAAGCGTATAAGTCAAATAATTTTTATTAATATTTATTAATAAATTTTTAGAAAACATTTAATTGCGATTTCGTTTTATAACAATGCAGAGTGCGGGTCTGAAGTGTGAGTTCTGCCATCAGAAAAATTGATAACATCACAGAAATTTTTACAATTACATTTCCACAATAAAATGGTTTTCTAGGGCACATTTCAAAAATTATTCATAGTTTAACTTAATATTTTTTTGTTTTTTTTTTGTTTCTCGTAAATACGCTTTTAAAATCTCTTAAATCTGTTAATAGGAAAGCATGCAATCTTAAAATTAACTTAAAATTAAGGTATCAACAAAAACAAACCATACTGAAATGCGGTTTGTATACTGCATTCGTGTGGAAAGCCTAACACTAAGTTTACCAATGATTCGAAGGGCGTCGCTCAGCGCCTGGCGCAGCAGAACCGGAAAAACGTGGTGACGAAGAGTTACCACTACTTGTGGACATAAATGCATTAGCAGCTTCGTTTGCCTGCAAAGTATGTATGGCAACAAGTAATTTTTTACGTGCGCCAAAAGCCGTAATGCCTAGGCCCATTAAATTTTCTTCAGTTAATGTGATAAACACCTCCAAATCAATTTCGTTCAAAACAAAAATTTCTGTAGAATCAAACAAACATTTTTTGAAATACTTGTGTATAATTCATTAGTAAATTATTATATGTATATATTAAGTACTTACTTATATAATGTTCTAAACCTAGAAATATCAATAGAGAACGTATATCCTTATGTTGTGACAATTGTAAACGACGGTTAGTTGGTGTAGAGTCAGCAATACCAGTCGTTACGCCTAAATGATATGGTGAAATGGGACCACCGGCAGCCGCTCCACCCAGCCAAGAAGTGTCATTGGCTGTTTCAAGTGGTGCTGGTGAAGTATGGCTTAATGCCATTCCTATCCAATTTGAATTTGGCACACGTAATTCTCCGCTAACAGGTGAACGCTCCATAGCCTTAAAACCCAATGCTCTTCTAAGATCATAGTCAAAAGAGCAATTGTGCTGCAATTAGATATAATAATATGATGTATATAAGGCAAATAGGACAATAGATACATAATCTAAATCTAAATGCTAAAAGAAGAACAAAACTGTGCGATTAATGTAAGTTTGAGTTTTCGAATTATAGAGGTCAAAAACAAAATTTTGACTCAGAGGCTATAGTTTGTGTTTTTTTTATTTTTAAAATCTTGGAAAAGAAAAATATATATAAATATCAGGGGCAAGTTCACTGAATACCTTAACAAAGCTTCCTTTTTATATCTTTTTTTTATTAGGTAAATAATCTCGCTATTTTGCTACTTAACATTTTTTATAATAGTTTCTCCAAACAGATTAACAATAATACAAAACGTACAATACAAACAAAACCACACATACATATGTTATGTTAGTTACACCCAACATTACTTATAATTAATAAAAGAGAAAACACATTCCTCTTAAAATATACTAAGGTTCAGAATAAAAACTGCACCGCGCTGCTTACAAAGTATGCAAATCAAATAACATTCACATTGGGACTATGTTCAATATTGAATAAACACAAAACATACAAACAAATATAAAAATAAAAGGGAAAAGAAGCCCCGCAAAATATGTACGTAAAATAATCATAACTCTTAAATTAATGCATGCAAGCGGTTCAATAAAAAAAGTGAACCTCCAATGTTATGCAAAGTAAATACAAAAGAGAAAAGAAATGACTGAGCGAAAATCGCTTTACATTTGACTAAAGGTTCAGTCGACTAAACTGAACCCCAAGTTCATACAAAACGTGCAAATACAATCAAAGTCACGGTTGCTGTTTTATATGGGCAAATGGTTCAGTAAAAAAACTGAACCGCGCATAGTAAATACAAAGTAAAAGAGTAAATGAATGCATGAGAGTTTCTTACTCTTATGTAGAGGTTGGAAATAAACCAAAAACAAAGTCATTATTGCAATTTTATACTAACAAATGGTAAAAGTAAAGAAAAAAATTAAAGAAATTTGAAGTGAAAAGTAATATTTAGAAATGGATAAATGTGTGATTAAAGATTTGATTCAAATATCATTTTTTAAACGATCTTCTGAAAAAAAGGTTTTAATTCATAAAATGAATAGACCAAATCCAGATGATAGAATTTGGTACCTGATGTAAAAATGTCGAAATCTGTGGTAAGTCGCCGTTTTCCTAAAGCTATTTACCATAAAAACCAGTGGATCACAGGCTGCGAACATTTAAATAAATTGTTTTGTTGGTCTTGTACGCTATTTGCTTGTGGAAAGGACAAAACTCAGAAGTAGGGGGAATAATTTATAGTTGGAATTCTGTTTTGATCAAATTGTGAACACCTTGCCAAAAAGCTGACGCCTCGCTACTGATAAATATATTAAAGTGTACATAAATATACATAATATATAATATATTATGAAGTATGTACAATATTTATATAACGTTTTTTAATTAATACATTATGTAAAGTATTACATCATTACAATATTTTTTTTTTTTTGTTTTATATTTAAACAAAATTCAAAAATATATAATATCAATATAATATTATTAACAAATAAAAACAACATCTTTAGGGATTTTAGTTTTAACCAAATTGTTCAGAGCAGATTATACTTCATCAACAACATCATCACATCTTTCGGCAAATATTCTTAAAAACTCTCATTTATTGATTAATTGGGAAATCTTCTATTCTTATCAGATTGATCATCCGCACTTATAATATCTTGATTAATATATTTTATACTTGCGTCAACTAATTCTAGGGTTATAACGACTATGTCATCGTATTCCACAAAGTGTTAAAAAACTTCATGCATATCATGCAATTCAATCTTTAGTTAAGAATAGAATCTTCGAATTGTAGAGGTGTAGAGGTGAAATTTTGATATTGATTACAAAAGATATTTAATTCGAATGGTGGAATCTTCAAGATAAAAAGAACTGAAAATTGTAAGAAATAAGAGAATTTTCAAATTACAAAAGTTTGAATTATGGAAGCTCTATTGTAAAATTTAATTATAATAAGGGGCCTTTTCTTTTGTAAGCATATCGCAAAAGAACAGCATAGAATAAGTACTAATTTTGATGACTACTCCTCAGAGCTCTGCACAAGCTACAACAAGAACAACAAATTTGTGATTTTTTTTAAGAAAATGTAAGGTTGAGATACCAGCCCTTAAAAAAACGCTAGATAAAAACATTTCATCCTTTCAATGAAATTTGAAGCCATAGACTGGTATTTTTAACAGTTTAAAACGTAACTGACAGATAGTTATTATTCATCAGAAAATATTAAACATCCCTGCAAATTAGTTATGGGTTCAACCTCACGTTAAAAAAAAAATCGTAGAAAATTATTAGGAATGTGCTCATCGCGAAAGTCATAAAGATAAAATCAAAGAATATTACTATTATTAACTTGTTTAGGTTTAAGTTTAATTTAAGTTTAGTTTATATTAATTTTGTGGTATTCACAAATGATCTGATTTTATTCAAACTAATAAAACTAAAATTTTTATTACTTATAAAAAATGAAGTTTTGGTGCTTAGATCTTTTCGATACTTCTTCTCATTCATTAAAAGGAAGAGAACCTATAGCTAACTATAACAAGAAGAATAGACAGTAAACGTCGGACATTAACTCTGGAAGACACTTAAAACATAACAGGTAACGGGCATCAGTACGGCGATTCAAAAAATAGAAGAAAAGATGGCCATCGACAACAAGAGAACTTATAAAATATGTTTAGGGTAGCTGCGATGTTTGTGGATCCAGAAACTATATGTAGCTTGAAGAATTCAAACTTATTGTTCATTCAGAAAGAATAATGAATACAGAGAATATTTGAATATATGAATATATGAATATTTGACAATCTACCGAAGTTATCTCCAACAAAATGGATTATGGTGTCAATGTAATATATATTCTTTCTTTTTGCTTGAAGAATTCAAACTTATTGTTCATTCAGAAAGAATAATGAATACAGAGAATATTAAACTTTGACAATCTACCGAAGTTATCTCCAACAAAATGGATTATGGTGTCAATGTAATATATATTCTTTCTTTTTGTTTCGAAAACAAGCGTTCGGAGAAAATGTGATCTTCGAACGTATCGCATAGACGAATATCAATATGTTCGAAACCATAAGTAGCACAAATAATATATGTATTTACTTATGTAGACTATTTATGAAAAAAACATATAATTCACTTTATAGTGTAATTTTTATGCTTTGTACAAATTATTGTAAGGTTAGAATCCAAGAAGCCGAAGCTAAAGTGAAAAGCAAAAGCTAAGTTTTAGGAGTAGCCTAAGGGTAACCTATTTCACCTTTATCCTGTTTTCTTTTAAATAAGAAGTTAGCAGCAAAACTTACTCTAAAATCACAGTGCGATAAAGTGTAATAAGATTCTGCACTACCAGGCAAAGCCGGCGCATTGATTGTAGACGCATTTAAGCCAAGCAAGGCACCATCACTAGCGCGACGTCCAAAGCGAGCATTAATCATTTCATTGCAGAGTGTGGTTTCGGGTGAGAAAAGCGTACGGCCACTACTAGGCACTTGAGCATTATTGTTGCTGCAAGAAAGACTTGTGTTTGCGGTCTTGGGATACGATGGACAAGCCTGTTCCAATGATGTGCTGCTACTACTGAAACTTTGGTAGCCGCTGGTATTGTGACTACTGCCATTGCGCGGCGAAATTTGCAGTAATTGTTGTTGTTGTTGTTGTTGTTGTTGCTGTTGCTGTTGCTGCTGCTGCTGTTGCAGGATTTTCGACTTTTGTTGCTGCAAGACCAAAGGTGCTGCTTGCAAATAATTATTGTTGTGATTCGGTTGCTGCTGTGAAAAACTATTGTTATGCATTTGAAGATATTTTTGTTGCAATTGGGATGCATTTTTTTTAAGTGGCAGATTATTATTATTATTATTATCGTCATTCGATTGTAATATACTAGCGTAGGACGCATCTTGAAATATATTTTGTGCCGGCTTTTGGTTTGGGTTTTTGAGATTGCCTGGAAATCCAGCTAACAATGATGTCAATGCAGTTCGATAATTCATATTAAAATCATTGTCATGAGGCGAAAAATATGTTTTCGGTACTTCCGGTTTTACCAATGGTGTATTAAGACTTAATATCTCGTGACGTGCCTCATATATTTTATCTGAAATTATATAAATCCTTGAATATACATATATATTTACATTATTATGTTTATTGTGATATGTACCGATAAATTTTTCAACACCTTTGATGACTACTACCAAAGTGCTTTGTCTTATTTTTTGACGTAAACTCACATAAACACCGTATTTGGTGCTTAGGTTGATGATTGTTGTTGCATCATTTTGATTGTCTGGAAAGTCAAAAATCAAAGCAATTGGCAAGTTGCCCTATTGAGAGAAATAAATTAATAATAATTATTAAGCGAACCAATCAAGTATAAATAATCAAAATTAATAACATCGATAGCAATACATGCATACATATCTATCTACTGTTAAAGAATGCAACTTTGCATTATTGATAGTGCAACCCATCATTTATGTTTAACTTACTTTCATCTCTAATCAATGTTCGTGAAGGTAAGAAGTTTTTCTTATTTCAGCTGCGCTAACATTTACTATATATAATTGTTAAAAGATTGTCATAACCCCAAATGGATAGTAGGGATATTAAATGCAGTGAATGGTATTCTTTCACGTACAATTTGCTTTTCAGTGCTAATTTCACAAAACTATAGAATTCGTTATTAGCTACGAAGTTCAATTTGAGTCCCTTTAGATTTTTTTAAGGGGACACAAGGGGGACTCATTTTTTTTACTGTCGTGCTTGGACAGAAAAATTATGTGTTTATCAAAAATATTTGGTAAAAATAATTTTAAAGGTTACCAATCGTTAGGGTGCTCAGTAATGCCGACCAGTCATGTGTACTCTCTAGAGCTGAACTCGCAGATAAGTACACCGAATATCGTCTAAAAAACTTTCTAACAGAAATACTATATATAAGATTAAATATATACAGTACTCATGTCAGAAACTTAATGGAATGATACAAGCATATCATAGTGCTTGATTCATATATAAAATATACAAAGTACTGATAAAATTTTGTAGGTCGTTAGATTGTTTCTATTGACATTCTGGGCTTCATTTAGAAGGCAAAATGTCTTCTGTTCGGTTAGGTTCTGTTGCAGCACAAAAGATCTTGTCGCAGTTCCATTGGGAGCTAGTACCCCGTTTATTTCTATTCTATTCTATAGATTGTTTCTGGTAGAGAAATCGGTGCATATGTAAAATAAGACAATAAGTTAAATGATTTATTAAATTGTGATTAATATTATTAGATGAAAAATACCTTGCACCATGGCTTTAGTGATCTATTGGGCTAACCCCTTTTACCCTTATTAAGCCTTATGCGTCAAATGAACGTATATGATATATTTTGTTTTACATATATATTTTGTATGAAACAACGACTGTGGCAATAAGATGGACGAATCTTCTATTGCACAGTCTTTAAAATTCTCAAAAAAAGTGATTAGAATCTTCAATCTCTTCTTTAATAATAATATATATATATAACAGTCCCCCACACAATTTCCTATTCGTTAAGTCCATGAATATTTTAACCAAATAAAATATTTTTTTATATTATTGATTAAAAATATAGAAGTTTTTTATACCAACCAGCAATTGTTGCCTAGCTCTGTAGACAGCATCAATAGTTCCTGTAATAGTCACTTGAGATTTTTTCAATGGTTTGACATTTATATCGGTCAAATCAGGAAATATAATCTGCAATTATGTAAGAAATAAATAAGTTCAGAAATATAAATATTAGCAAAAAAAAATTTTGATAACTGTAACAGCACACCTTTGTATTTGTTCGTTCCATGATATCCAAAAGGTTAGAATTATGTTTACCTTTTACGATTTCATGATGTTGTGGTGATATTTCCAGTTGCATATTAACAACAATATGACTCTATGTATATAAAATAAATTATTTTAATAAATAGAAATTAAAATAAATAATTTATTATATATACTGAAACTTTTTCACAAGTAAAATCTATAAGTTTTTGCGTAGCTTCCTGAACTTTAGCTGCTTCCTTTTCAGAACCTTTTACCAGCACTAGTGAAGAGTGTAGTTTCTGACGAGACGTAAATATGACCTAAACCAAAATTATACCAAAATTATACAAAATTTATCTAATCATCTATTATATTTACTTATTTAATATATTATATGAAATATATGAACAATAATTAACACACCTGCACATCATATTTTGCCTCAATCATACCAATATAAGGCGTATCGCGATCCGGTTGTGCAAGACCATATGCTAATATTGGTAACTCGAAAGACATTAAAAGTGGCGTTGAGAAACGTACTAAGGAGCGAGCACGTTCCACACCTTCTAATGTCCCACATAATGATACTTGATTTGATTTTTCGTTTGGATTCGAACGATTCGAATCTGGAAAATGTATGTGCGTTGCAGTAGTTTCCATGATATTTTTTATATTATTTCCACCACGTCCGATAATATACGAATGATCGGTATAGGAAACATCCATTTTTAAAATAACGCGTGTACCCTTTAAGACGAAAGAGAAGCAATTAATAACCTTGAAAGATTTTCAACTAAATTTATGTTAAAATAAATATTACCCTGGAACTCAAGTTATTTAAAACACGTTCCTTTGCACGTAACACATCTTCTTCTTTACCAACAATACGTACATGTGGATCTGTAAATGCAAACAATATATGTTCAATTTCTTTATTATAAAATCATAAAAACATCATAAAAGCTGCAAATGAAAGTTTTATGATAAATGTGCTTGACTTTTTGTGGGAAACCAGTGGCAGCGCTAGGCGTCAGTGATGTCGGCGACTGCCAATAGCTTCGTGCCTACAGGGGCCTCGCAAAAAGTTACCGACTATCGTTTATACCAAATGAATTATACTTAAAGCATAACAATGCTTGAATTATAATGCTTTGGATCCAATTCGGTCTATTGAACTCTATGAGAAACTATTGCTTTTAAAATCGAATTTACTAGACTCAATTAACCTTATAAAGCAAATCGTCCGGTATATAAAATAAAATAATTTAGAGGAAGTATATCCGAATGTTCACATAGTAACCATAATCATTCTCACATTTTGAGTCAATATAGCTTCTACTGAAAGACTCTTCTTAAAGTTAAAAGAAGCGTCCTCGCAATTCTGATGTTAGTATTAATTATTAAATCAAATGAAATCTCCATAGGTTTTCACAATATTCAAACAACTTTTTACTATAATCCTAATCTCAATCAAAAATATCCATATTTTTTATAATCCATTACTTAATTTTTCTTTTTTTACAAATAAAAATATATAAATTACTCTTTACTGACCCCATTTTAAGATAGAATAGAGTTTTTTATGAATATATGGTATATGTGAATTTTGCTTGTAATACCTTTCTTGCTTTTAGCTCCAATTTTTAGTCTGCATGGCCAGCTTATATGGGTTGATGTAGTGTTCATTACCTTCAAAAAATACAAATATTTATTAATTTTCATTTTATAATAAACAAATATAATTCGTTGTGGTTTACGTTATCAAAAAAATATTCCGCACCATTCATGGTTTCGACTGCACTTTCGCCTTTTGAGTTATTAGTTACGATGGACAATGCAATAAGAAGAAATTTTTAGTTTATATACCATAAGATTACGTATGATATCCAAAACTCACCTTTGATCATTTGCTCTAGTTTTTGCCGATCTACCTTAAACCGTTCCGTGTGTAAGTCCTGCAGATTGGATACGCCTAATTTCTCTGCAATTGCACGTATGTCACTCCAATCACTGTTGACTGATGATATTTCGCTTTGTGTCTCACTAGCGGTGCTGCTAGTTTTGGATGATGGAACTTGCAGTGTATTTGTCGTCATTGATATAACAGTCGAGTCAGTTGTGGGCGCAACTGAAGTAGCGTACATTATTTTATTTATTTGCGCACAGGAAAGCATTTTGCGTATTTGAGAAATACTGTCTTGATGAATCTATTAGATTAGTTCTTATGGAAGTGGGAATTTGTGGATTAGATACGTGTTAAGTTGAAGTAAGTACTGAACCTTGATATAATATGTTAAATTTCGTTTTAGGGATTTGATGTGGTCCCTCAGTTGTAAAGTTGAAACTAAAAGTCTTTATGGTTTTGGTTTTGTTTATTTGAAGCGTAAAGTTTCACTGTAAAATAATAATATTTACGATAAATATTTCTGTACATTTAAAAGATTCAAAGTGAATACAAAGATGCTGTTCTTTCATTTGAATTTTATAAAACACTGACATATATATTTACAAGATTGAATAATTGAAACAATGGGTAATACAAACATTTCAAAATTTATTTTTTTATGAAAATTTTATTAATAGAATATTAAAGTGTTTAAATTATCACTAATTAAATACTATGTCATAGTTATTTGAAATCAAAATCATCCTGTTTTAACCTTAAAATACTTACAGCACCGCAAAGTAAGTGATGCAGTGCTCTAAAAACTCAATGACCTGCAGAAATTGTCAATCATATTCTACCTTACGCACAGTCTATGTTGACTGAAGAGAGTTTCATCGCAACTCGCATTACGAGAAAAATATTCAATAGTATGTTTCAACTGTCGAAGCAGCCGACCCACAAACTATAGGAATTACCCATAATAGAAGGAACCTAAACAGGCTATATCAAAAAAAAATTATTCATTAATAGTGAACAGGTTACAGTATCCCCTATTTCCAAAAATAATTACTTTATAGCCCACAAATCGTGAAACACCCTTTGACAGCTTAGTTAAATTTAGTTCCATGAAAGTACATCAAACTTCACAAATTCAAAATAATGGTTTCGAAATATTTAATTTTAATCTCACATAAGGTATTACCTAGTTTTCTTTTATTATGCAAACGACTTTGAATGAGTTAAATAATACAAGATCCATGTGTAAAAATTTTTACATAAAATGCCAACGGCGCTAGCTAACACATAATTGGAATAATTAATTTTCTTCATCAATAAAGTATATATATAACACCACCTCTGGAAACGTGATTACTAAAATCAACTATTTACCAAAACTAACTCTACAAAACTGACTATCCCGACGGTGAAGCATACAAAAGTACTGGAAAACTAATATGAAAATTCTTTAGCCGACACTCTTCTAGCTTGAATTCCAAAGACTATCTGCAAGCGATCTCTATTTCTCCAATAAGTAATAGAGAGAAGCTGGGATAAAATATAAAAATATGAATAAAAATAGATTTGATTCAAAGTTAAAATTGACAGACCTGCAGTCGTATTAAGAACTGCGTCTCCACCTTTCGGTTAAGTTTATTGGATGCTAGTAGAGTTCTCTTAACCCGTGAGCATTACGAAGTCCTCCAGATTCTGCATATAGGAGTAGTAAACAACAAACTTTTGCCTACTTTGCGAATTCAAAATTGTAATTGTAAGAGTGTCCTGTTATGCTACGTAGCATGGCATAATAGGAAAGAAAAACTTAAGAAAAAGGACGCCAGATATAGACAAATGTTTTTGGCTTTCATTGTAGGTATTGCACTCGCTTTAATTTAGTCTAAGTCCAATCATTCATTTATTATATATATACTAATACAAGCAATGAATGCAAATGGCTGCCATGCCAGAAAGAACATTAGGAACAAACGTTTAGCTTTTATGTTGATTTGCCTTGTGTATTGTTTTTGTATACTTGTATACTTAAATTTTCATATATAATTTTTAAATATTAATAAATAATATTCAAATATTCATATACAATATCGAAAGTGGTGACTTGTTCAGATATTGCTTGAAAACGGTTCAGTTTCTGATCTGCATGTTTCCACAACCCACATTTGACGAATGCACTCCTGAATGGTTTATTGTGAGGACATTGGAGTTCAAATAAAGGATTCTGATGTATCGCAAGAGCTATCCCTTTATTAATAAAAAAGCAGTAGCAATGTAGATACATATGAAGTAAAATTACATAATTTATACAGAACACGTTTATTTGATTTCATAATAATTAAATGTGGGCACTAAACATGGGCACTGAAACCCGCACACGTATTACTTTACATCTATTAAGTACAATTCAGTAATAGTAATGAATTAGCAAATAGTTAAGATTGCACTATTCATATCCAACACACGATATTTTTCAAAAAAAAAAAAATAACAATATTTTGAAACATTATAATTAACGTTTGAAAAAAATTTAACAAATTATTGTCAAAACTAATTTAATTCCTTAACAGACTATCCAGTTTGTAGGGTTTGATTAAAATTAAATTTAATTAAAAATAATAAAAAAAATATAATTAAAAAAAACTTAAGAAACTAAAATAAATTCAAAAAAATAATTAAAATATTTTTGTAACAATTTTTTTTATGATTCTGTGCTCTTCAAAGTAACCTAATACTTGAAATATAATCTATGCAAATAATGGCTTTGATTGAAGTCGAAATTAATTTATCTGTTAATATTTATTTTATTGTTAATATTTTCCAGCAAAATGAAAAAAACCACTTCTGCTGGTAGGAATCGAACCAGGGACCTACGGGCCTTGAAATCAGTATGTTTCGCCTTGCGCTACGGAGATCGGCGGCGGGCTAACATTATTTATTAGTTTTTATATGTGATGCACTTATAATTTATATGTATAAAATATAAGAAACTTAATTTTATTTTTAGGTTTCTCATAAGTAAACAAAATAGTTTTTTGACAAGACCATGAACTTATCAATAAGCACTTGTGTCTTTGATATGATTTTATAGATTTTTTTTAATTATTTTATTTCATTTTCAAAGCCAATTATGAAGAAAGAGATTGTTTTTTTAAGTAAAATTTTATAGAACTATTTATTTTATTTCATTTTTTTTTTGTTCAGATTTTAATTTTGAATTTATTTTATTTACTTACTTTTTAATTTTATATATATTTTACTCTTTTTTTAATATATATTATTTTTGAAATTATTTGTTTTTTTTTTAATCTCATTTATTATATGTTATTTATTATATTTAATAATTATTAATTTAATAAATATCTGTATAAATTGAATTTTACATCAATTAAGTTTATTGATATTGTTACCAATAAGAATTTCAAGAACTAATAAATCTTTAATATCTTGCTTTCTTTACTCAAAAAAAAATGAAATAATATTTAATATAAATATTTTTAGTTATTTATAAATTATATTTTGATAGAGCCTCTTTTCCCTTGCAGCGCTACTGCCAAGTTCAGTTCACTTAATAAAAGAAATTTAGTTTTAAATAAGTGAGGTTTGCTAATATATGAATTAATTTCTTTTTAATAAATTAAGTTTAATTAATTTTCTTTTGAGACATATGAAGTGAAATATAATATTCGTGAAAAATATGATTTGATCCAACATAAAATAATTTGAAATAATTTTTTTTTAGCAAGTGTATTAATTAAATTTTACAAAAATATCCATTCACTTAATTTAAATTGTTTTATATCCAGAACTAGAGAAACCATTAATAGATAATTATTTTTTATATATTCCGTTTTTTATATGTTCACATCAAAATTTTCAATTGAAATATCAAAGTAAAGCACACAAAACGCAGATATATATATAACAATTATTTAACGTCTTTTAAAGAAAATATAATTATACATATGTAACACATATATTTCAATTTGATAAGATTATTTGTAATATTTGTTAACATTTTGATTATTGTTGATTAATCGATTATTAATTTCGATATAATTATTTTCATTATTTTAATATTTTTGTTTTTACTGATTTATTGTATTAACATTTCAGCACATACTCTATCAAGGAATAAATCCTTACAACATCATTAACATATGAATTATATACCATCACATTTTTTACTGGAACCAATTATCACGTTAAACGACTAGAATTGGTTAGAAAGAGTAAGAAGAGGTACTGTTCACACACTAACAAATCAAAGGATACGCACTACAATACGGTACGTATCATATGAGAATAATCAGTTTGGGTGAAAGAGAAAGATAGTATGGTGATGCTGAAAGGATACTAATTGGAATTAAACCGCCTTGGATTTCTAAAGAAAACAACAACATATGCTCAAGCAAAATGGTGTATATTCTGCACTGGAAGTCTGTTTAAAATCACGTGTACTTATGCAAACTTTTAATAAATATTGAAAATATTTCTGAATTATGTATAATAAATTATTTAATAAAAAATTAAAACAATGACTATTGCAATTAAAATCACACATTTTATACGCGACAAATAAAAGTAAAGCTTCTTCCTGTGCATTCTTAGAGGATAGTAAGAGGATAACATTCATTTTCCAATTGGAAAATTTGATTTTTTTTTATTTAAAAACAGCTATTTCACTAAAAAAAGCGCCAAAATGTTGTAGATTTCCAATTATTTTGCTTTATATGTTATTTGGTCCATATAAATATTTTATTTTTTTTTTTCAATTTTTTTTAAACCCAATATAAAACTTACCAATATGTAAGGATTTCGTGTTAAAATTTATTTTTTTGAATATCGAACCGTTCTTTGCTATGTAACATTGGTCACAATGAATTCAAGTTAAGTATTACTTTAATTTTGAAATAGAATTAACTTATATTTTTTAAAAAAAAAATTTTTTTGGTTTTTCTTGTAAAAATTTATATGCATTTGAGCTTCTTGGTCAAAGAAGACACTTGTTTTTAACAGGAATACGCAAATGCTACTGATCTGTCGATTATAGCGAATTTATTTATTTAGCCATGCACTGTTGCAGAATCCAATAAACGGTATTCAATATAATTTTTGTGAAATTATCCACACGAAATTCGTGTAAAAAAGTGGGAAAATAAGCTATAATATAGTCAAAAGAGTTAAAGAGCATTTTCTATAAAAATAAATAAAACATTACAATAAGAGTTTAAATGTAACTCATATTGTTTTTAGTTCAATGAACTCAAAACAAAAAAAATCAAGAGAAAACTAATACAACAACTTTTCTGGAAACATTCTTGTTTAGAATAGAGTGACAATGTTAATAATATGAATAAAATGTTTATCAACATTCTTTAAACAAATTAAAGTGTATCTAAGCATGTCTATAATAATAAAGCAAAAACAAAAAAGTTGATAAACCGCGTCTACCTAGTGTCAAGATACATGTAGGTACATGCAAAGAAAAATAACAAAGTCAAGCAACATATAATATGTTGTCTCTGTCAAAGGGAATGTTTAATAACGATATGTGCTCACATATCGCTAGGAGACCTTAGAATAGATCCAGTCAAAAAATACATAAAGGTCAGATCCCTGAAGCTATATGCTAAAACCGACAGGTTGCCCTACTTAGGCTGCCTATCTAATCTCAGAGTAATCACTAACCGGGCGGATCGACACGCAGATCTTAGATTAGTCATTGAAAAAACACAATGCTTATGAGAAAAACAGAAATGACCAAAGAGTAAAAGTGCCCAGATGCACTAACCCGAAAAAGGCTCAACATTAGACATATCGCTATATTAAATGTTGGGAATCATGTAGCTATATCCTAAAAGTGTATGTATTATGAAATATTTCAGTCAATATATTAAAATATATGGTTTTTTACTGCAATTATATAATTGCTAATTCCATTTGAAAATATTATGGCAGAACATTGTCTTGTTAGCATATTTTGAATGGTAACATAATTTAAAACCAAACGCAGTTCTTCACCAAGTTTATTTTTGCAATTTGAAATTTTTCGAAGAAAAGTACTAATATTTAATATCACAATTTTTAATTAATACTTAATATTGAAAATATTATAACTCAGAAGGAAACAATATGATCTCGAAAATTAATAATGTCCAAGAAAAGGTAAACAAATAAATCTAAATGAAGCCTGGATGCAGGCTAACGAAAAAAATTATTACTGGATAACTAACAAAGGGACTCTACCTTGAAGAATTCACGATAAAATTCCGGAGTACAAACGGTGTGACACACGAAGTGTATTGTTTTTAGTCCGTACAAATCGGATAATCAATTATTGTGATGAAAAAATGTTAAATAAAATATATCAAGCATATAACAAGGGGCGGAAATGTTCCACCTGAAATTAACTATTGAATATGCACAAAAATATTAAAGCATTTTACCTATATTCAAAAATAATTTTTTTTTAAACAATTGGAGCAACGAGTACTCTCTTGAGTGTACAATTTTTCTGAAACCAGATTTTTGTATCATTTTCCAGAACAACATAAACCTTTTTAGGAGGACACCTCTCTAACCAGGACGCGGACAGAGGATTTTTGGTAAATTCCTTAAAATACCTCTCTTGGCCGGATGTGAACTTCTTAATAACAGACGAAATGAACAACGAAGATTTCAAAAAGTCTTAAGATAATCAGACTAAATGGAAATTAGAGACATAGATGGTGTTGCGCTTTTACGCTTTTATGAACAGTTTTGAAGCGTTAAATTGCAAATATTAGGGAGACAGGGAGAAAAAACCTTAGTATAAATAAAAAATCAAATTTGTCAAAATAAATCAATTTTTCAAAATCAGACAATATTAATACAAAGAGATGCTTTATGAATGCAGACGACAAAAAATAGATTTATGCTATTTCAGCTGGTTTTGTAATATACGAAATCGAAGCATTCTGATATCTGTCCAAATTATTCAAGCTAAGGATAATGAAATTGATGTGAAACTCGGTGAAGCCGATTTTGTGGCATCTAATGGTTGGTTGCAAAGATGGTGGACATGAACATAATAGGTCTATTCCACGAGCTACTCGTAGTAAAACTCAAGTAAAACACAAGTAAAATTTACACGAAAATACACAGTGTTACTCAGACTTACTACGAGTAGCTTGTGGAACAGACCTAATATGTCTTTTGGGTGCATTTCTGGAGAAGGTACTGCTGTAAATAGTCTCGATGTTCAACAAAGCCTTACTGTTTAAAAATGCCATAGAGGCAAACTATCGAAAGAAAGACTTATAGACTTGCAGTGCTATGTAAATATCGTTTTATGTAAATATCGTTGATTAAAACGAAAAAACCAATTGTGATTGGGAAAGCAGACCACTTGTAAACACTTCCAAAAGGCAGGGTTTGAGAAAAATGAAATCAAGTCAACAATGATTTCGATTTATGAGCTATCAACTGTGATAGCTAAGACTAGCTGTGAAGAATTTTTAGCAATAGATAGCAATTACTTGACAGAAAATTCGGAGGTCGAGTTAAATTTTACTAATAACAAAAATGTAGAAACAATTGAAAACGATAGCAGATTCTGAAAGTATAGCTGATCGACATCATGAGGTATACACGAACGAAACGGACTGATTCCTATTGCCAATTTATAGTGATTTTGTAATGACGATCTTATATCTTTTGAATTTGTCAAAAAACAGGAAAGTCATCTGTATAATCGGTTCTTCCAGCGAAAACAACAAAACTTGCGTCAATCGACAATTTCAAAATTTTTCAAGAAGTGACTTATTTCTTAAGTTGAAACCTCCTGTTTTCAACTTTTTGAATGTATTAAGTGTTCTTTTCATTGTTACATAAATATAATAAAATAAAAGTTTTAATAAGATATTTAAAAAAAAAGTGTGGAGTGTTCTTTAAATCGGACACTCCACTCGAATGGAATTGGCTAACGATAAATGTCCGCTTTAGAGAGTTTTCACTGTATCTACTGTTTTATTTATATTATTTGTTAAAAAATTTCATTTTGTAAATAACATTTGATTGTTTGTGTATATTATTCTAATGTGTTTAAGTAACTAAATATAATTATATTTCTTCTGAATAACACTTTATCCTCTATATTTTATTTATTTATATAAATTGATTTCATTTAGAAAATTTTTTTTATTTTAAACACAATGTATATAATAAAGTCAAGTAAAGTAAAATATTTTATTGAAGAGAGTACCTAACCCCTACTTTTATACCTTGTTCCACATAATTGGTACGAAGCTTGGCCATAACTTGACGGATGTTCATTTTAAAAATATTGAGTGTTTGAGGATTGGCTGAAAAAATAACATTCTTTGCATAATCTCGAATGCTTCAAACCTTCTTCAAATTTATTCGCAGTTTTCGCTCGAGTGAAAGAAAACTTACCTACAACGAAATCATTATTTCTATAGAAAGTTATCATAATTTCTATACGTTAAGAGGTTGTTAAACGTTTTATATAGTGAAACGGTAAACTTTTAACCAAACATATTATTCTCTGATAACTTAATGTTTGACTGAAACAGTGTTGTCGATTCAAGACCATGAAATAAATAATGCATAATGTTTTTTATTAATTTATTCATTTAAGTTTCTTAATATCATATATATTTTTGTTATTTAATTTGCTGTTGCCTTAAATAATTTATTTTATATAAATATTTTTTATTTCTTTTTTTAAATAAGTTTCATTATATGATAATCACTTTCTGGCATAGTTTATATCTATTTAAATGATACGACTTCGATTTCCCTATGCAATAATTATAATTTTTTATCATATTTATATATATTTAAGTAACATGACTCCTATATTCAGGTTATGCCCATCTGTTATGCCCAACGGATTATAATTATTTGTATTAAAGTGTTTGCCAAAACATCTCACTCGAGATACACTTCACCTGCCATCTAGTGGCAATTAGTGGTACCGATTTCGCTGTGCCCGAAGGTTCGTGTTGTTAGTAGTTCTTATGTTAAAATTCATTTAGTTTTAATTTGAAAATATCTTTTTATCTCGGAGAATAAATTAAATTGATATGTAGCTTCAAGGGAAAAGATTTTGAAAAGCTGTATTTATTAAAATCGGAATCCTACCATTTAAATCAATTTGTTTTAGTTTAATTATTATTTTGAATTTGTTTATTTTTACTTTTTATTTCTTTATTTTGCTTTTAAATAAAATATTTATTTAAATAGTTGCATTTTCCTTATGTATAATATAGTTCACTTTAACTTATTTAATTTAAATACATTAAAGAAATTTTAAGTTCAGTATTTATTTTATATTTTATTATTTATAGTTATTTAGATATACATAAATGTTTTATTCATTTTTCATTTTTAAATTATATACCTTAAAACACTATTTAAACACTAATATATTGTAGTTTGTGCCACGTTAGGTAGGCGATCAAAAGATCAACAATCACTACGATTGATATAAATTATCAATTGACTGAATCAATCCACTTGATCGCTTGTAGTGTGACTCTTAGCAACGATTTTGCAGTCGTAAAAAACTTAAGTTTCAATACTGACTTAAGTCATGCTTCAACTTTGCTGACTTAATTTATACTTAAGTCAGTCAGTTGAGGTTTAAGTTATGGGTATGAGATTTGCTTGTATTGTATTTAGCACAATGTTAAAAACTAGTCTAAAATGCAGACTAAAAATATGATGTCTGCAAAGCTCACCGTAGTAGATAAGCAACATAATTGAAACAAAAATGTTTATAAACATTCTACACTTCTGAAAAGTTGGCAGCATTTTGCGTATCGTAAAGCTTTTAAAGCCAAATGTGCTTTACTACGCAACATACTACACGTTTTCATTTTAACGAAATGTTGCTTGAATTTTTAATAAACATAACCAAAAACTTTAACTTCAAACTTGCTTTTTGTAAATAAATAAATAAAATTGTAGATGACTTACCTGAATATGGATTAAATTAAAAAACTCGATTTGTTACACAGAAAGAAATGAAAGGCTCACAGGCCACAGGACACATAAATTAAAAGCAATTAGCGATTAAGCACAAGAAATGTCTTCGTCGTTTGATTTACAAAAATTACATGTGATTTTCTTTGGTTATTTTGCGATATATGTATATGACATGTACATGCGTTTATATATACATATTTAAATAATTTATACAATTTACATAAAAAATTAATATTTGAATTAATTTTGAATCAATTTTTCTTTTTTTTTTGACAGGAGAATTTTTGAAGACAGGAGAAGGGAAGCAAGTTATTTTTCATTGCAAAAAAGGGACTTCTTCCAAAATTTGCTTCAGTATATTTAGAGTTATGGAAATAGCAAAAAATACCGAACACGTTTAATTACCAAAAGAAAAAATTTTCCAGAAAACACAAAAAATATTTGAACGTCGTTATTTTAATATAATTAAACAAAATGAAATACTTTTGTTATTTTAAAACTACTTTAAAAAATTATATATTAATTGCACAAATCGTTATATAAAGTGACTAGCAAATACCGGAAAGTTGCGCCACTATCCCGGTGCGTCCATAAAAAACTACTGAGACCAACTCAGTAAGTGTTTTTTGATGCAGTTTAATTGATAAGTAAAATTACAATAAAATTATAAATTGCAAAGTACAAGAACAAAATGGTTAACGGTCGGCAAACATGTAGAGTAGAAAACAACTGCAGTGGGCAGAGATGCAGAAATGACGTTATAAAAATTATATCATAATATATATCATACCGAGAGTACTCACAAAATCTCCTAAATCAAAGAAGAGAAAACTCCACTTACTTTAAGCGTAGCGATGAGAACCTACAAAGAAAATTTATTTTTTACAACATTTTGGCATACGTATTGAATACATATGATCTTACCTCTTACCTCTTGGGTTTGCAGTATTATAATTTTTTCCTACTTTCCTACATATCATATATTTTTTTTTTTCTATTTAATGAAGTGCTATGAGAGACACCCTTTCAATGCACTATCTTACATGCTAACTTACAAACTAACAAATAAAATTGAATATATTATTTAATTTATTGCTTTAAAATTAACTTAATTAATATATTAATATGTAGTCTTAATAACAATGAAAATTAAAAAAGATAAAAAGAAAGCAATTATAAATGAAATCAAAATAAAAGAAAAAATAACAGTAACAAAAAAAAGAAATAATAAAAAATAATATTTATATATTAATAAATAATATATTTATGATAAGCAGAAAATTAATCAAAATAAGATATAAGAATAAAACAATATTAATTAATATAAGATTGTAATAATAAGCTAAGACAGTTCCTGAAAAACTAACTTCTTGAAGCACACTAAGTTGTTTGCGTTTCTGGTATCGCTAGATAACGAGTTCCAGAGTCTTACCGCATTTAGAAAAAAAGAAACTAGCCGCAGAAAAGTGGTTGAACCTTTGAATTAAATATTGAATAGATCTGTTTGAATGCAATTTACATAGATTAATAAAAAGGTACCCAGGGATTTGGATCGTAGCAATTTTAAACAAAAATATACAAACATATTTATTAATAAATTGCTCAATATCACATCCTAGAATGTTATTCCTGTAGCCAATGAAATGATAAAAACGCCTGAGTCCATAGTTATACCTTGTCAGGCAGTTCATTAAAGCTCTCAATTTGTATAGGGAGTCTGAGTCAAGTTTGCTGTAGACCAGACTAGAATACATAACTATAGGCATTATTAATTGCTTAACTAATATGCAACGAGGATTCATTGGAGTATATTTAGCTGATAATTGTATACATCTAAGTGATACAATTGATTTCCGACAAACTTGATTTATATGTTTCCAGTTTCCAGTAATATGATTCATATATTTCCAGTTTCCATTCTAGTAATATAAAATAATCGTTTTGTTTAGTAAAATTTTATCACGTAAACAAATTATATATTGTAACAAATAAAATATGATAAATACATACATATATAATCTATAATCTGCTATCCCATATTTAGGTATTGTTTTAGTCCAATGAGTAAGAGGAGGATTTGCAGTTGACAATACTACCTTAACCCGACTTTTTACTTTTCACTTTATTCTACCTTTTATTGTTTTAGCAATAACAATAATTCATCTCTTATTTCTTCATCAAACAGGATCAAATAATCCAATAGGATTAAATTCAAATATTGATAAAATTCCATTCCATCCTTATTGTACTTTTAAAGTATTATATAAAAACTGAAACCAATTGACGGAAGACTATTTTTACAAAAGTTTTTAAGTTTTAGGTCTGTTTACTTAGGCTTAGAGTAAATTGAAATTTCCTACAAATTTTTGCAATGCACTTATATAAATAATTATTTATTTATTTATTGCAATAATTTATTATTTTTGGTTAAAAGTTTTCAAAATTATTTATTTATTTATTAAACATCTTATAAAAATTTCACAATGGTAACACCTTATTTACCTAATTTTTATCTAATTTACCCTACTCGAAATACTGGTAAATAACAACATTCGCTACCATACCGACATAATTTACTATTTCCCTCAATTTACCATCCATTTACTCGAACTCACACATGGCCTTAATCATATAAATGTAGATGATTCAGATAGTTTTTTCTTATAGTCTATAAGTTATAAATGCTTGGTTAATATGAATTTTATAGCATTCTAATACAAATATATTAAGTTCGATATTATAACTTCTATGGAAGTGTTGCAAAAAGTTCCTATTGTTATTTGAAAACCCAAAACAAAGTAACTAATTTTTGAAAGCACGAACATTTACACCACATAAGATAAAGATGAGAAAATGAGAGGAAATTTTGAATCATTGTGCCTCTTTGTGTAATATCGCAAAAAAATTTCTCTTATTTATTTAGCATACTAGAATTGTCAAATATTAAAATCGGTGTGCCTTATAACCGAAATGTTTATTAGTCATTAAAAGAAATAGTAAAAATTATTGTTTTAAGAAAATCCATTGTATATACCTATTCATATCATTATAATGAGTAAATATAGGCATGATTTTTTTTTCAGTTTATATATAAATTTAAAATTTGCTTTATAAATCAAATATAAATAAAGAATAGGTCAACTAAACTCAGCAATGGTATGATTATTATTGATGTGAGTACATACTTATAATTAGTCACAATTAGTCATAAAAAAATTAATTTAAAGCAAAAGTTATCATCTAATAGAGAAGTTAGTACGTAACTCCTAACAGAGTCTTCCACTCATTTCTATAATAATAACCATAAAACCGAGATTACTTAAAACTCTTAAGGAAGCATTTTACACAGTTTGGCCAATCATTAAGGATTTTTGATACAAAGATATTAGTTACGAACAACACAGATCAAATTAACTAAATCGCAGGCTGTGTTCAAGCAACTTCATGTTCAAGCCCTTATGTCCGTATGATTTTAAGAAAAAAACAAATACAAAATCATAAATTGTACAATATATTTCTAAAGTACATAGGTATATAATATTATATATAATATTTTACAGACATGAAATTTGTTAAAATGTAATTAACATAATTATGAATATATATTTATAATAAAAACACACAACCGAAGTACAATTAAAAATATTGATTTTGCTTCAAGATTTTCCCATTTTTCTAATTATTATTATATTTTGGAGAAAATAACATTCTAATCACTTTTTTATACTAATTTCAAAGCCCTAAATTAAAACCAACATGCACAAATTAATTGGTAGTTTATTATACAGTGACAAACAAAATTATTCGCACAGCAAGTAAATTGAACTTTAGCACTATTTTTATCCTGTTAATGATGCGATGTGGCTCGCTCATCATGTAAAACACACATTGTGCATCCACCTCATTCTCCAGATCTCAACCCCATTGAATATTTGTGGAAAGAATTTGATAGACGTCCAAAGAAACCCATTATAACAACAAAGGCAGAACTGAAGGTGGCATTGGTAAAGAGTGGCAAAATATTTGGCCAAAACCACACAAAAATTGATTTCTTCGATTCCAAAGTAAATAGTAGCTGTTATTAAATACCATAGAAGAGCTTGGCCAATAAATTTTAATTGTTATTGAAAATATTTTTTTAAAGTTGGTTTTTAATTTTGGAATTAGCTGTGCCAATAATTTTGTTCAGCCAAATTTATTTTTTTTTTGTTTCTTTAATTTTAAAAAATTAAATATAAGAGAAAATAAAATGAAATAAAATGAATTTAAAAGCAAATTAAGCATTTTATCTAAAGTAATTTTTTGTTGATTAAAAATCGCATCATTAACAATTTATCTTCAATAATTCTTCGAAAAAATATAAAGATTTTTGAAATTTAAACATCCAAGTACGCACTTTCGTTTCATCATAAAAATTTTAATTAATTAATAATTCGTATATTTTTGTGAAATAATTATATCTTTTAGTGCTTTTGTAATTAAAATTCTATTCGCCTTTTCCTTTTAGTAGTATGATATTTGTGCACCAAATTGCAACTTTGGCGCAATTTCTCGAAACGAATTTTTAATTTTAAAAACCAAAACAGACAACGAAATTTCTCAGAAAGTGTTCTAACCTTCTTCGTTCATTTCTTTTGAGGTGAGTGAATTTTGGAGACTCCAAAGTGAGGTTGCTAACTTTGGAGCCGACGACAGTTAGACCGTACTTTAGTGAGACCACACTGCTGGTGTCGGAATCACAAGATTCAGCAGCTTCGAAATTTGAAGGCAAAACTTCAATCATTACCTGCCGCCTTACTTGAGATCGCGATGAAGTTTTTGCTCGTACATTTACTGTTTCCGCAAGCGGAGAAGAAAACAGTAGCCTATCGTGATTCATCTTGACGCACACTGTAGTGCTGTCAAGAAGGATTACGGCTTCCAGCCCAATGGTCGGCGCGTACACAGATTTGGATGATTCTGTAAAGGAATCATTTCAAGGTCATGCCGTCAGAGTGACATCAAGCTCGTTAGAGTTATTATTAAAAAAACTATGCATAAGAAAATTAATTAAATTCGGGATTGTGAGGTCATCCACGACATAACCCTTTTATCGAGAGAAGTCTGATTAATACTAGAGGTCGACAGGTATCCAGATTTTGCATATTAAGGACCAACTATTCATGACCATTCATCCCTCGCCAT